ATCTTGCCACAATTTACCACTGTTCTCCAAAGACCAAATAAAGGAGCTGATTGGGAAGGTTCAAGAAAGACTTCACTAGTTCTTATGACAACACAGCTAAGTGTGGCAATGTTCCCAGTGGACCAGGAGGCCTGGCAGCTGCAATGGGAGGTTCCACTCAGGCGAAAGATGTGAGGAAGCCCAACAACGGCTTCAGATTCCCAGCAGCATTTTTAAAATTATTTTTATTGTTGTTCAATTACAGTTGTCCTCATTTTGTCCCTTACTTTTCCCTGCCCTACCTGCCACTCACCTCTTACATTCAATCCTCCTCCACACCACTGTCTTTGTCCTTGGGTCCTTTATACATGTTCTTTGACATGACCCTTCCCCTCCTCCCCCCACCTCCCTGGGTACTGTTTGTTCTTTTTTTCCATGTCTCCAGTTCCATTTTGGTTGCTTGTTTGTTTTGTTGACTAGGTTCCACTTATAGGTGAGATCCTAGGATATTTGTCTTTCATTGTCTGGTGTATTTCATTCAGAATAATGCTCTCCAGTTCCATCCATGCTGTGGCAAAGGGTAGGACCTCCTTCTTTCTCTCTGCTGTGTAGTATTCCATTGTATAAATGTAGAACGATTTTTTGATCTACTCATATACTAATGGGAATTTAGGCTGTTTCCAGCATTTGGCTATTGTAAATAGTGCTTCTATGAACATTGGGGTGCATAGGTTCTTTTGAATTGGTGTTTCAGAATTCTTAGGGTATAATCCCAGCAGTGAAATTGCTGGGTCAAAAGGCAGTTCCATTTTTAGTTTTTTGAGGAAATTCCACACTGTTTTCCACAGTGGCTGCACCAGTCTGCATTCTTACCAACAAGGCACTAGGGTTCCATTTTCTCCACAACCTCACCATCACTTGTTGTTTGTTGATGATGGCCATGTTGACCAGTGTGAAGTGGTATCTCGTTGTGGTTTGAATGTACATCTCTGTGATGGCTAGTGATGCTGAGCATCCTTTCGTATGTCTCTGGCCCTCTGTGTGTCCTCCTTGGAGAAGTGTCTATCAGGTCCTTTGCCCATTTTTTAATTGGATTGTTTGTCTTCCCTAGCTACATTTTCCCATTCAACTTTATCAGCAATGAAGGGGTTCATATATTGACCCCTAGCAGTGGCCTAATCCTACTTCTCAGTTGGTTCTGAATTCAGAAGAGGGGAATTAATTTGTTTTCTCCCCACCCAAAACTCCATACATGGCCCACAAAACAGGAAAGCTTAAGAAACAAGCACAAAGATAGGGCTCTGGAGATTTAAGATATATCCCAAGAGAAGGATGTTTCAGGTGTGGCTGGAACAGGAGGTGTCAGTACTTCGGTAAGCATAGGACTTCTGGGTCCTTAACTGCTTTGAGACACAGCAATCTAATGAGATGGGTGTCACAGAGCCTTGGAAAACCCAGGCCTTTGCAACCTCAGTGTACACAGACTGTGCAGGATTTTGCAACTTATAGATGTAAGCAGGTGTGCCCAACACGGTGATTAGCTGAGGCTGTCCATCACTTATAACGTGCAGAGCTTCAGTGAACACATTGTTTAGGAATTAGTGGTTGGGGAAATTTCCTGTTGCTCCTATGATATTTCTCCGTCAGGAACCCAAAGGAAGGTAAGTTTCACATGCAACTTCCCATAAAGGGAGCTAAACTCCACCTGTGCAAGAGCTATGGTTCTCAAACTCTAACATTTGTAAGAACCACCTAGTGAGTTTGTTATATAAGTTTCCTGGGCTCGCAGTCCCAGATTCAGTGAGTGTGGGTTAAGGCCTATGAATCGGCATTTCTAACAAGTTTCCAGACAATGTTGATGCTGTTGGTCTGAGAACCACTTCAGAACTACTGGGTTTGAATATATTGGTTATGCAGTTCTAGCTTTAGGTCTACTGCCTCAAACTCTCTCCCTCTTACGCTTTGCTGAACTGAATCCAGTTTTAGAGCCAAGGAGTGAACTGAAGTGGAATTAACCTCTTGATTTCTTATGAATCACCTACGGGCTCCTAAAATGACCCTAAAACCCCACCATGTGGATCAAATCCTCTCTAGATTTGCTATTTAACCCTGTCCATGGCTTTAGTCAGACACACATATTTGGAAGTTCAGCCAAAGAGGGTGGTGGTTTTTCATCAATGAACAAATACAGGAAAAGGAACCTTTATTTTATAGGTGGCCCACCTATAATGTGCCCACCTTTGGGGGCATTAGTGAACATGTTAGTAAGCCACAGGTTAGAAAGGAATAGTAAAAAGCTTGTGCCAGGAATGTATGCTCTGAGAATCAAAGAGGAGCAGGATTGGTTTAGAAACTAACAAAGTTGTTTTTTCCTTTACCAAACTCTAGTCAAACTCTTCTGAACTCTCTTCTCAAATAGACCTTGACTTTTGGGCTTCAATGTCTACCTCTGTATTTGTTTAGTTTCAGCAAGAATCCTGCTAAGTCATTTTAACCAGAATCCCCCATCCTTGAAATCCAATCACCCTTATACATCTGATCAGGTTCCTCCTCCTCCACCATCCCCATGTGATGTCTGATCTCCGTGGCCCGACTTCAGCAAAAATCCGGTTAGGAAGGTTTACCCAGAATTCCCCCCTTGTCCCCAATGTTTCGGTTGTTTTCCCCCCACTGGCCCTCCCCCAACCCTGCTTTTTGGTTATAAATTTCCACTTGTTCTGTTGTGTTCCAAGTTGAGCCCAATCTCTCTTCTACTGCAAAACCCCATTGCAGTGGTCTCTACTCCTATCACAATGGATAAAGTCTGCCTCACTGTGTTTGCACAAGAGCCGTGAATAATTTTTTTCTCTAATGAAATATTGATCTTAAAGTCAGAAAGAGAGCAGTTAGAGAGAAACAAAGATAAGTGAAGGAGTCAGGCTGATATTGGAGGGCAGTGGTCAGCAGGGAAAGCCTGGGGTTCAGCCCGGGACACATGTGGGTTGTTTGCAGACTGTGTCCGTTCAGACTGGCCAGCACCAGGCCTCACCACCACTGCCATGTAAAGAGAAGGAGCTCCTGAAGTGACAAGTTTTAATTGTGGAGGCCAGGTTAGCCCAATGTGAAAAGTGAAAGGAGTTAGCTGCTCCTAGAAAGGAGCCTAGCTGCTCTCAAGGAAGGTCTTAGAAACCCTTTCTGTTTGTTTGTTTGCTTGCTTGCTTGCTTGCTCTGGTTATTACTACACCAGAAAGGGTGACTAGAATCTAAAGAACTCAATAAAGAAAAGGAGATGAGATTTCAGAGAACAGACTGAAATAATCTACATCCCACCACCCCCCAACCAGAAAGGGCAGTTCCAGGAAGCTCTTGAAAAGTGCCCTCTTAAAAGGTCAGATGAGGAGTCAACAGTAAGTTTCACTGGAGTGTCATACTTTAAAGACTGTCACAGTTACATTAGGCAGTCATGCAACTGTGGCCAGATTTGAGAGGGGAGGTCTGGGATGATGAGTATAGAATGCTTCTAGCATTATCAATGGTTTTTAAGGTGGCTCAATTATTACAAAAGAGAATACAGGTATGGGGTGTTCCCTGTGGGTACATACCCAGGAAACTTCTGAAAGGGGATTTTCAAGGAAGGCCCAGGAGGATGAAACAAGCTGCAGGTGAACTAGACGGGATAGTGGTAGACAGAGTCCAGGCCTGGGTTAGATATTGGTCCAGTAGGTCAACAGCTTCCATGAAGGGTCACCCACCCATGAAGACAGACAATGTCTAAGGAGAATCTCTGCCATCATTACCACAGCTTTACTACCCAAGACAAAGAATGGAGAAGAAAGGAGCCTCCAGTAAATCTCAGAGAACCATTAAAATTTTCTAAATTTTTCAAGAAGAAGGGAAGGTTTTGATTTCCAGATATGATATGGTAAACTTAAGTCATAATTAACCTCCTGATGAAAGTCTTTTCCCAACACTGTAAAGTTCACAGGTCAAAAACTATAGAAAACTGTGGTTCAGTTGATTAGAGCATCTTCCTGATACAAATCCAAGTCTGCAGGTTCAATCCTGGTCAGGTCACATATGAGAATCAACCAGTGAATGCATAAATAAGTGGAACAACAAATTTATTCTTTCTTTCTTTTTCTATCTCAAATCAATAAATAAAACTGACAGATAGACTGAGAGGCATTCAGACAAGGCTGATATCAACAAGATTTTTCTCTCCCAGGTTTTCATAGTTCCCTTTTTTCCTTAGATACTACAAGGCCTCTGCCAGCGTCTCCAGCTGGTGCCAAAACAATGGGTGTGTTCTGGGATTCTTAGAACTTGAATGTAATTGAAGTAAGCATTTGTCATGAGTTTTGGCTGCCCATTGTCTGAACTTCTTCCCCCTCCTTTTATGAAAGCAGAAAATGCCACTTACTTCCCCACCTTCCCTTGAAGTCTATGACAAGGATGCAGCCACGTGACCAAGGCTCAGTCAGCGAGACACACCCACCCCGACTTTGAATCCAGAGTCAGATGCAGACACAGGCACAGCAGAAAATTTCCCATGACAATAGGTCCACAGCTCAGCTGCTCTTGACCGACCACTTCATTCACTTTATTATAGTCATACTACTCAAGGCCAGGATTTCCAAACTTCCCTGCAATTCCCCCAACTGCCCAAAGAACTATCGATAAATGCCTTCTCTGCTTAAATCAGGATGAGTTGATTTCTGCAGTTCACGACCTACAATCAGGACTGATACAACTGGTCTAAATGCCCTAGGGGCCAGTAGATTTGCTCCGGTTTTCTAAGTTTCTGGAGGGTGAGGCTGGTGCTGGGTAATCTTCAATGTCCTATTAACGCTTTGGACTCTTTTTTGGTGATGGAAGTAATGGAAAAGTGAACAGGTGGAACAAAATTGAGGGTTCTTACCAAGAAAATAAATGCCTTTTGAAATGACTTTGATCTTTTTTAGTATAAAATTTTTATATTTAGAATTAGCCAGATGGATTCAGTTTAGATGATCCCAATTTTGTTGGCAATGTCCAAAGCATCATCATCTGGAGCCAGTAGAACATATATATGCCTTCTTCTCCCCATTAGGCCTGATCAGGGTGTTGACCTTGGCTATGTCAATGTCATAGAGCTTCCTCACAGCCTGTTCCATCTGATGCTTGTTGGCCTTCACATCCACGGTGAACACAAGTGTATTGTTGTCTTCTCTCTTCTTCGTGGCTGATGCGGTAGTTGGGCAGAACTTGATGATAGCAGAGTGGTCAAGTTTGTTGCTCCTGGTGGCCCTCTTCCAAGGATATTTAGGCTGCCTTTGGAGCCGCAGTGTTTTAGGCCTCCAGGAAATGGGTGACGTGTGGATCTTCTTTTTTGTGTGGCTGTGGACACCTTGTAGCACTGCTTTCTTCGCCTTGGCTTTGGCTTTGGGAGGAGCAGGGATTTCCTTCTTTGCTTTGGGTGCCATCTTCATTAAAAAAGGCTGAAATGACTTTAATCTTGCTCTCATAGAATTGCTAAGGGTTTTTCAAATTTTTTTGTTGAATTTATTGGGGTACATTAGTTAACAAAATTATATAGGTTTCGGGTGTACAATTCTATAATACATCACCTATATATTGTATTGTGTGTTCACCACCCCAAGTCAAGTCTCCTTCCATCACCATTTATCCCCTCTTTACCCTCGTCTACCTCTCCATAAACCCCTTGCCCTCTGGTAATCACCATACTATTGTCTGTGTCTATGAGGTTTTTCTTTTTTGCTTAATCCCCTCACTTTTTTTTACCCAGCCCCCCACCCCCATTTCTCTGACAGCTCTCAATCTATTCTCTGAATCTATGAATTTGTTTCTATTTTATTTGTTAGTTTATTTTGTTCATTAGATTCACATATAAGTGAAATCATATGGTACTTGTCTTTCTCTGACTGATGTACTTCACTTAGCATAATGCTCTCCAGGTCCAAGTATGCTGTTGCAAAAGGTAATATTTCCTTCTTTTTTATAGCTGAGTAATATTCCATTGTGTAAAGATACCACAGCTTTTTAAAAATTTTTATTTAGTTATTTTTCAAGTACAGTTTTTTGTCTATTTCTCCCATCCCAGCCTCCCCTGCCCCGTGCTCCCCACCTCCCTCCCATTTCCACCCTCCTTAGTTCTCATCCCTGTGTCCTTCCTATTTGTTCCTCCAAATCCCTCCCCCTTTTTCCCCTTAAATTCCCTTCCCTCTCCCCTCTGGTCACTGTCCCCTTGTTCTCTATTTCAGTGTCTTTGTTTTTTTTTCTGCTTGCTTGTTTGTTTTGTTGTTTAGCTTCCTGTTAAAGGACACCACAGCTTTTTTATCCACTCATCTACTGATGGGTATTTGAGCAGCTTCCAAATCTTGGCTACTGTAAACAATGCTGCAATGAACATAGGGGTGCATGTATTCTTTCGAATTAGTGGTTTGCATTTCTTTGGATATATTCCCAGAAGTGAAATTGGTGGGTCATTAAGGTAATTCCATTCTTAATTTTCTGAGGAAACTCTATATTGTTTTCCACAGTGGCTGCACCAGTCTGCATTCCCACCAGCAATGTATCCTTGCCACCACTTGTTGTTTGTTGATTTGTTGATAATAGCCATTTGGGCAGGTGTGAGGTTATACCTCATTGTGGTTTTAATTTGCATCTCTCTGAGTGATATCAAGCATCTTTTTATATGTGTATGGGCCATCTGTGCATCCTCTTTAGAGAAGTGTCTATTCAGGCCCTTTGCCTTTTTTTTTAATTGAATTGTTTTCCTGGTAGGGAGCAGTTTAAGTTCTTTACATATTTTTGATATTAGCCTGTTATCAGATATGTCTTTGGTAAATATATTCTGACATTCAGTGGGTTGCCTTTTCATTTTGTTGATGGTTTCCTTTGCTGTGCAAAGAATTTTTGGTTTGATGTCATCCCATTTGTTTATTTTTCCTTTGTTTCCCTTGCCCAAGAAGATATATTAGAAAAATATTGCTACAAGAAATGTCCAAGATTTTACTGCCTACATTATCTTCTAAGATTTTTATGGTTTTTAGCCTAACATTTAAGTCTTTAATCCATTCTGAGTTTATTCTTGTGTATGGTGTAAGAAGGTGATCTTTCCTTCTTCTTTCTTTCTTTCTTTCTTTCTTTCTTTCTTTCTTTCTTTCTTTCCTTCTTTCTTTCTTTCCTTCCTTCCTCCCTTCCTTCCCTCCTTCCTTCCTTCCTTCCACATATCTGTCCAATTTTTCCAACACCATTTACTGAAGAAACTATCTTTACCCCATTGTATGTATGTTCTTGTCTCCTTTGTCAAATATTAATTGACCATAAAGATGTGGATTTATTTCTGGGTTCTCTATTCTGTTCCACTGATCTATATGTCTGTTTTTATGCCAGTACCATGATGTTTTGATTGCCACAGTCTTGTGGTATAGTTTGATATCTGCTAGCGTGATTCCTCCAACTTTGTTCTTCTTTCTCAAGATTTCTGTGGCTATTTGGGTTTTTCTGAGGTTCCATATAAATTTTAGGAATATTTGTTCTACTTCTGTGAAATGCCCAATTGGTATCTTGATAGGAACTATGTTGAATGTATAGAGATTGCTTTGGATAGTATGCACATTTTAACCCTTTGGATTTTCAAAAAAATTTTTAGTTACTGATTTTCTACAGAGAGGGGAAAGAAGGGAGAGTGAGGGAAAGAACCATCAATGTGAGAGGGAAATATTGATCAGTTGCCTTTTGCATATGTCCCCGACCAGAACCGAACCCACAACCCAGGCATGTGCCCTGACTGGGAATTGAACCTGTGACCTTCAGTTTATGGGCTGATGCTCAACCAATTGAGCCCCATTGGCCAAGGCACCCTTTGAACTTTTAAAAGTGGAATATACAGGAGACTGTCATTGCACATGCTGAGGTCCCCCTGTTCCCAGGCACTGAGTGAGGTCCCTGGGCCAAGGCTCAACAGGATGAGACCTCATGTAGGAGATAACTGTGGGTTTTAATGTCTGTGGTCTTCACCCTACAAGTGCAAGGAGGTTTGGTTTGGGAGCTCTTATTTCTCCATGGGAGTGTAATACTGTAATTATGTAACATCTACCCTATACCAGGAAAGGAGAAGAAACTGCCAACTAAAATTTGATACAGTGCTTATCACTTCGAATGTTTACCTTATACTTAATTAACATGCAGTTTTAAACTTAGACATAAATTTTTATCATATGTTGTTCTTGGGCATACATAGAAAAAAATATGAGCAAAACAACTTCAAGTATTATTAGAAATTCTATATTCAGAATCCAAATATGCTGAATCATATTTCTTTTCAAAGTTGAGAAAGAGCTCTTACTAAATATCATTTTACTTTTCTCCCCTAAGAGACAGTTCACACAAGTCTATAACATATTCTGAATACCATTTTGAATGGTATGCCAACAAGTATTTTCTTTTTTGTAATTTATTTATCTTTAGAAGGGAAGGGAAGGAGACAAGGAGAGAAATATCAATGTATGGTTGCTTCTGGTGCATCCCCTGCTGGGAACTGGCCCCTGCTGGGAACTGGCCCCTGCTGGGAACTGGCCTGCAACCCAGGCATGTGCCCTGACTGGGAATTGAACCGTGATCTTTTGGTTCACAGGCCCGTGCTCAATTCACTGAGCTACACCAGCCAGGGCTCCAACAAGTGTTTTCTTAAGCTTTTTATCTTGAAATAATTTTGTATTCATGGCAACTTGCAAAAATAGTACAAAAAGTTCTTGTATATCTATTATCCAATTTCCCTCAGTGTTCCGAATCACTTTTAAAAATTGAAATAACATTCACATACCACAAAACTCGCCCTTTTAGAATATACAACCCAGTGGTTTTTCGTGTATTCACAAAACTGAGCAGCCATCACCACCACCCATCCCACAGCGCTTTCATCACCTCTTTCATCACCTTCCCCACACCATACCCCTGAAAAAAAACAAAAAAAACAAAAACCCGGTGTCCTTTAGCAGTCATTCTCCATTCTACTTCTCTCATTCTCCCAGCCCTTGCAATCAGGAACCTACCTTCTGTCCCTATGGCTGAACGAACTGTAAACTCAGAGTGGCCTGTGTGATTCCAGATGGTATCACTCTCTGTGTTACCAAGGGCACTGGTGATGCAGCATTTTATCCCAGCACTTGGCTCTGTCTGCTGGGTCTTCCTCCAGGCTGCTGACACCCATTCTGCCAGTTTTGATGCGTAGGGCAGGCAATGATACCGCTACCCTAACAACTGCCTGGCTAATGAGATTGTAATATTACTCCCAATACTACAGAGGTTAAAACATGGGGGAAAATATCACACCTTAAAAGCAGTAAAAACTGTAATAAAAGAAGGTTATTTGGAATCTTTCCATTTTATTAGCATTGCATCATTGTCAAACATCATATTGTCATATGTTTATACTGTCATTTGATCCCTTGCATATCTTCTGGTTAGATAATATCTGGTTAGATAAATGGTAGGGTCTGGGTGTGTGGAGTTTATCCTCATAAAGGTGGGAGAGAGACAGCAGGCTTCTAATCCTCACCTTGGGAAAGCCCACTGCAAAGACAGGAAGGAGAGTGGCCTCTTTCCCTCTCTCCATCCCTTATTAACTATGTGCTGCTGGTCATTTTCTGATTGCCCATTCCCCACCCTTTTCTGTCCTGTTCTGTGCCTGGATCAGTGGACTGCTACAGACTATATCCTTGGCTCATTATCTTCTTGGGTTATAGTCTTCTGGTTTCCCGTGGGTTTGGTCCATGGGAGGGAGTTCACAAAGTGGGAAGAACAAGTAGGCAGGATGTTTACCTTCCCCACTCCCACAAACCACCCCCACCTCTGGGGAATGAGGGCCCCAGTTTTGCCACTGGCTCCTTCCCTTAGCCTCATTCCTTTTGGGCAGTGCCTCTGCCCAGGCTATTAGCTCCTCTGAGTTCTGGTAAGAGCTCCTCCCCTTAACCCTGTTAGAACTTCCTTGTATATAGTCCCTGGACTCTTGTACATCCCTGGTCGGCACGTTTAACCTTGCCACGCCTCTGCAAATAATCCTTTTGCCATATTCCCTTCAATTACCTCTTTGAGGACACCATTTATTTCCTGCTAAAACACTCAATCCTTCTCCCAAGGGTAATGAATTACAGATAGCGTGGGTGGCTCTCTCTCTCATCTCTCTCTCTCTGGGTCCACGCCTCCTTGTAGCAGGCTCGCAGTCCTCTCTCCTACACGACGCAATCTTTAGTTTCTACAATTAGGGGGTCTGCAGTTGGGGGCCAAAAGGTTAAATTCAGGGGGAAGATGTTAAAAGGGCTAGTTTTGCTTACAGATCAAAGCTGTATTCCACCATTCAGTTTAACTAATAAAAAAGTTGAGATTTTGAGCTTTGCAGTCTATTTCTCAGTTAGTTCTGAACTGAGAAGGTAAGGGGCAGTATTCGTTGGTCCCCTTAAATCCCAACAGCCACCCTTAGATTTATATCTTCAGTTTCAGACCCATAGAGAAAGCTGTCATATCGTTTGTCAAGCTGCTCAGATAGAACATTATCCACCCTAAACCTCTTCCGACGTGCCCCGTTTCATTCTAGCGTTCCACTCTCCACCCAGCTGCTCATGCCAGAAACCCGAAAGTCATTCTTGACATCTCTTTCTTCATCCTTATATTCACGCATGAATTTTCAAATATCGTAGAGCCTGTCTGTGATCAAACCATTAATCCACTCACCAATCTTCACCATCACCTCTACAACCTTGGTACAAGCCACCACTAACTCTGGCCTGGGCCACAGTAAGAGCTTTCGAAAAAGTTTTAAGATGAAAACAAAGAAGGCAAAAATTAGCCATTTTTCCCTACAGTCTCAGATGTATCATGGAGTTTCTGGAAAGTCCAAAATAGCTAAGAAACATTCATTCTAGTTTAGAAGGACTAGAATCTAGCCTTTTTTTTTTCTAAGAATAAGTGACATTTTTAAATGAAAGTTCCTATTACCCATGGGCTTTAAAGCAACAACAACAACAACAACAAAATAAGTGTCCAAGTATTTGGAGCCATGGGAACCATAAGAATAATGCTCTCTATTTACTCCAGGCTTGCAAGTGCTGCCTAGGATGAAGACTGAGCTAAATCTGGTAGCCATCAATAGCATCACTTTCCTAAGATTGTATAATAAGGAGGACAGCTTTGGCCCAAGGATCCCCCAGGGCTCTCTGACCAAGTTCATTGCTACTGCAGTTTGACTGCTTATCCCAAAAATATATGTTGAAGACCTAGCCCCTCAGTACCAATGAATGTGATCTTACTTGGAAACAGGGCTATTAAAAATGTATTTAATTAAGACTAGGTTATATTAAATTAGGGCAAGACTGGTGTCCTTAAGAGGAGAAGAAGACACAGACATATACAGAGAGAAGACAGCCATATGAAGACAGAGGCAGAAGTTAAGAGTTATACTGCCACAAGCCAAGAAACACCTAGGGCTACCAAAGCTAGAAGAGGCAAAAGCATCCACGCTCAGAGCCTTTAGAAGGTGCATTGTCCAGCAGAATCTTGACTTCAGGTTTCTGGCCTCTAGAACTGTGAGACAATACATTTCTGTTGTTTTAAGCTACCCAGTTTGTGGTACTTTGTTACAGAAGCCCTAGGAAACTAATAAACCAGCATATAGGAATTTAGTCACCTACAACAGGGGCTGGCAAACTGTGGCCATGGCCCACATCCAACCCACTGCCTGTTTTTACATGGCCCACAAACTAAGAACTTTTTTTTAACAGAAGAACTTTAAAATCAATTTGAGATACAGAACATTAACTTTGATACTCAATTAAGTGAAATATCAGCTCCCCAAAAAAGAATTGCATTCTCCTAATTAGTTTGGTAAACCCATATTACAAAGGAATTATATTCAATTATTATTATATTGTATTTTAAGTTTTGTCATTTAAAATGTGCAGAAATTTGTTCTTTCTTGTTATATGAGTACCTAAATAATATCCACAATTTTGTTACTTGGCCTGAAGAGCCTAAAATATTTTCTATCTGGCCTTTTAGAGAAAAAGTTTATCAAACTCTGACCTAGAGGAATGTCAGTGTCATTTTCTCCTTTACCCAAGGGAATTGCTAAGCATCAGTGAAAACATTTTAATTATGATAAAGAGACTTGCTTTTTATCTATTTTCATGTTACATAAATATTTTTCCCTTGTTCCTCTTTTAAGTATTAGCTGTACTGAGATATACCAGTAATTCACACACCATACAGTTTATTCAATTAAAATGTATAATTTTTAGTATATTAAGAATTTTGCAATCATCATCACAATCAATTTTAGATCATTCTCAGCATTCCATCAAGAGATTTCATACTCATGAAATCTCTCATGAGCAATCATTAGCAATCGGTGCCCATGTTCCTCCAGCCCCACACCCTCTAGCTCTAGCAACCATTAGTCTACTTTCTCTCTGCCTATTCTGGACATTTTTCTATACAGCTGACCCTTGAACAGGGTTTTAGGGATGCAGTTGAAATCCACGTATAACTTTTGACTTCCCCAAAACCTAACTGCTAATAGCCTACTGTTGACCAGAAGCCTTATTGATAACATAAAGTCGATGAACACATATTTTGTATGTTATATGTATCAGATACTGTTTTCTTATAACTAAGTAAACAAGAGAAAAGGAAATGTTAAGAAAACCATGAGGAAGAGAAAATCCAGGTACAGTTTTTATTGGCATAAATCCATGCATATGTAGACCTGTGCAGTTCAAACCCACGTTGTCCAAGAGTCACCTGTACATGTTCCATGTTACTTTTCTACATTTGGTTTCTTTGGTCTGAATTTTTATTCATTTTCTTCAATATTTTACAACAAGAACAAGAAGAATACCAAAAGCACGAGCCAGAGAAGGCTTAGACATCTCTGATGTACGTTTCCCATCATATAGTTCGGCCCACACCTATGGCCCCACTGGCTATGGGTCCTCCATCAACTAAAAATGTCCTGGACTTTCCCTCACAGAAATGTTACATGGCTGACTGTTCTGAGGTCACTAAACAGTCGCCCATGCACAGGGACCCTAAACTGCCCAGCCTGTAGCCTTTTGCACTGTGATGTGAGGAATCAGCCCAAAAATCTGTTGAAGTGTGTTGGTAATATGAAAAGACATAAAAAGTAATCAAAGAAAATTACTTATAAAAATGGTCTGTGAGGAATATGGCATAATAGTTAAAAATATCATATTAACTAAAGTGAAGTTCTTTCAGAATCAAGATTTTTAAAAAATCTTCCTTGGCCTCACCAATTATTTGCTTTTATTATTGGTAATAATAATATTATTATACTGAGCTCTGACTGGAAACCACCACTTCACCTTGTTTGTCATAGTAATTAGCTATAATGACTTTCAATGGGCTTTAGGGCTTTTTCCTTACTCATTAGAGTTCCATAGCATTTAAATCACCTCATCTATTGTTCTGGTTATCTATTGCTGCAAAACAAATCACCCCCAAGCTCACTGGCTTAAAACAAACAACAATCAATTTATTATCTCTTGTGATTTCAGTGGGCCAGGAATTCTGGAAGAGCTCCACTGGGTAGTTCTGCCTTTGGATTCCTCATGCAGTTGCAGTCAGTGGCAGCAGCTGGAAGAGAGGGCATTGGGAGAGCTTGGGGTGGCTGGACATTCTCCATGTCAGGGGCCCTCTCCATGTGGCCTGTCCACATGGGTTAGCTTGTGGTCTTAGGGTGGTAATGCCTCTTACACACTGACCCATGGCACTAATGCAGGATCCAGCAAACCAGGTAGAACCTGCACCACCTTTTCTGACCTAGCCTGGACAGTCACATTATATGACTCTGCCATGCTTTACTGGTCAACCGGTCCCTAGGGTTTGGCCCAGATTCAAAGAGAAAGGCCACAGAACTCACCTCTTCATGGGAAAAGAGTCAAGGAATTTGCAGAAAGATTTTTGAACTGCCATCATCCATGAAGAAGACTTTCTTTGGTTTATGCAATAATTACTTCCTTAAGATATTATTTCTTCCCTTTACTTCCTTGTGTTTTTCCCCCTCTTTTCTGATACTCTTAAAATGTTTACAAATTATCCCTGGCTGGTGTAGCTCAGTGGATTGAGTGCAGGCCTGTGAACCAAAGGATTGAGGTTCGATTCCCAGTCAGGGCACATGCCTAGGTTGCAGGCCAGTTCCCAGGAGAGGACGCATGAGAGGCAACCATACATTGATATTTCTCTCCCTCTCTCCTTCCATTCCCCTCTAAAAGATAAATAAATAAAATCTTTTTAAAAACAATGTTTACAAATTAGAGATTTTAGCTCTAAATATTTTGCTTGATACTTATGTGTTCTGTAAATAGATTAATTCTCGCACCAGGCCCAAATATTTCCGGCTGTTTTGTTCTACTCTGCCTACTTCCTGCTTGGTTGACTTTTATTTCCTGCACTCTCATCAAAGGGTTTGTCAGAGTTGTAAACTTTCATTTTGGCCTAGGCAGGGTGTTCTATTTCTAAATCTGCCAGTGGTCTTGAGCAACAGTATGCATAGAGTAACTATAATACAGGAAGTGAAATTTGAAATACTATGTCTTAACTTAAAATTAATAGAATTAAACATCTACTTTAAGGAAAAATATATTTTAGTAGAGACCATTTTCCAGAAGCTCAGATCTCAAAGTCAGTTCACCTTCTCAATAGTGAACTGCTCTGGGCCATTGGTGGGACCAACTGAGGATAAAATCCCAAAGATCTTATTTCCAAGTGATTACAAACCTAGCTAGAATTCTCTCTTTTAGGGACAGTTCTGTATCTCTTAAAATGTTTTGGGCTGCAAATAACAGGAACTTCAATTCAACTGGCTTAAACTATAAGAGAATATTTATTATCTCATATAACAAGGAATTTGAGGTGGGATGGTTCCAACTCAAAAACTCAAAGTTTGAGTTTTCCATCAAAAACTCAAAAGAGTTCTTCTAAATCTTTTTTCCTGCTAATATCTTTAGCATTGTTGGCTTTATTTTTAACTCATGGTTTTAAAAGGGCTTCAATAGTTCTCTTGTCACATGCAGATATAACAAAGTCCAATGAATTCCTCAGGGTCTCTTCTTATGAATGAGGAAAAATTTATTTCAGGATCTTCCCAGCAAATTTCCCCTCCTGTTACACTGGTCACAAGCATAACACTTACCCATTCGTAACCATTCTCTGGCTCAAGAATGGAGTTACCACGATTGACTTAAAGATACACTTAACATTTGTATCAGGATAGACTACCTAAACAAAATCAACATTCTATATTAAAGAGGAAGGGGAGAGAGTATGATAGACAGGGAGTCTTCTAATATTTGGACTTACTCTACTACAGAGGGTTAACTTCCCCTCCCCTGGAGTTTCTACATCATCGAATGACACCCCTAATTAACATAGTTGCTCAAAGCAGAAAAATTGACAGTTCTTTTTACCTGTGTCTAGCAAACATCAATTTCCCAAAGCCACTGGCTTAATTCAAGCATGTACCTTCTCTCCTCTCCATTATTACAATTATTTTCCTTACAAGTCACTGCTTCTTGTCTTGTACTTTCCCCAATCCATCTTCCACATTATTGAGAGGATACTTTCTCTGATGAATTATCAGGGTATTCTCACTGGAGCTCAAATGCTAAAAATGGAATTAGATGCCACTTTCACTGTCCACTTCCTCCAACATGTAAAATTTGTTTGGTGGCTGCAGAAGTATGAAAGTGTTCAGGTGCAAGGGGATTCAAGAGACAGATGTGAAAGCAACGAAAGTAGCGGACATGAGATGACCATCTGTTGCTGTCATCAGTCTGATGATGGTAGAAAAAGGGGTTAGAGCCAAAAGATAAAGAGACTGTATTCATGGCAGATTCTGGGACACTTTGAGCACAAGCAGTCCTTTTTGAAGCCTAGATAACAAAGTGCAATATAGTATTGAACAGAAGGGGAGGTCTTCTGGGCCCAGCAAAGCAGAAATGAAGATTCAATGACCCATTTATCCTCTCTTTACTGTTTCAGCACTAACTACCTTTTATTAGAATGGCAGATCCTGTAAGGTCCTTGAAGCCGGGATATAATTTTACCTTTGTATTGCTAGTGCCTAACACAGTGCTTGGCATGTAGCAAGTATTTAATCACTGACTAATTTAACATTTCTTAAGTTTAAGTTTCACTTATAACCACTTAGAGAAGTGATGTCACTAAGATCATATCAAAAGTCTGAGGCAAAAAAAATTTTTAAATATACTCAGTAATATGAAAGTATAATTTTATGATTTGTAATATTAGTCTATCACTTTTAATAAACACTAAATAAAAATAAATGTGCATATATTTACTACGAAAATGAAAATGTTCCATCTGGAATATCTAATATTAGGTTTAATATATTTTAAACTTCATTAGAGGTTTTGATAGCTTTCTGTAAATATTAGATGAAACATTTAAATTGGATTATTAAATAAAAGTCGTGCTTGCCCTCAGTCTCAGTTGTTAATAAAATAAACTTTTATTTCTTATGCAGTAATTTAGGAAGCACAACCTTTTGCTCATAATTCCCCAGTGTTCCCACCTTCTCACACCACAGTTGTACACAATCTGTTTTTTAGTTTATTTTTTAAATTATATTTTATTGATTATGTTATCACTATCTGTTGTTAAACTTTATTAAGACCTACAAACCTCGGAACTGTTCCCAGTTTCCCAGGACATCCATTCTCTAGCCAACTTCCTTCCTTAAAGAGCTTAGTATAAAAACTACGTAGCAACATGGGAAAATGTGAATAGCATAATTCCAAGTGAAAAAAAAAGCTACCACACTTTATATATGTATAGTATTCATGGTTGCAGCTATATAAAATATTTGATAAAAGTGATGTGAGGATATACTCCAAACCAATGTTCTTGGATATTTTTTTATACTGGACTGGGGATGATGTCATTTTAATTGAGTCTCATTTTTCCTGCATTAATATTTCAGGAGATTTTATTTATTTATTTTTAAAGAGGAGGGGGAGGGAGAATGAGAGGGAGAGAAACATCTGTGTAAGAGAAAAACATCAATTGGTTGCCTTTCTCACCCACCCCAGTTGGGGACTGGACCTGCAATGTAAGCACGTGCCCTGACCAAGAGATCAACTGGCAACCCTTCCCTTCATGGAAGGACACCCAACCAACTGAGCCACACCAGTCAGGGCTCCGCATCATTTTTTTTTACCACGATCAAGTAGTAGCAGAAGAAATAAGTCAAACCCACATATGTAAAAGCTCCAGAAGGGAACACATCCACACATCTATACATCCACACAGGTGACATTTGTATTAGTGAGGCAGAATTATAGGTCATTTTTCTACTTTTCTCCAATCTTTCTTTATATGTATATTTTTGATGTTATGATTTTAAAGTAAAAATTTTAGCAAGAAAATTTGGGATTTTGAATATTATTAAAGAACTTGTTAGTGGGTTGCCTCAGCTTTCTCTTATGCTATTAAATTCATTGTTTTGGTATTTGTCTGAACATAATTATATGTCTCTCCAGGCATAGTTTCTACCTCTTTGGACAGAGAGGGAGGTGTTAAAACTTATGCTTTTTTTCAATAGTAGTAGGATCGACTGCCCAATGGTCATGTACCATGGTCACTCATATCAATACCAGAGTAATTCAGTGTATAACAATTTATATTCCCTTAGGTGCTTACAAAGTATCTACAATACTCAGGGCAGTGTATTAAGTATTATAGGGGAAAATTATGAATAAGACATAGTCAGTGCCTTTAATAAAAAAAAAGTTGAAGAATTGATCTTCACTTTTACCACAGAGATGTTGAATTGAGGATTTTCAAGAAAAGACCTCAAAATACACAGAGCTTGTGAATGCTAAGCACTCCAAATACTAGCATTTTTATCAGTTTGATTATGGCTGTTAGTTAGCTAACAAATATTTTTATACTGCTTTACGTCTTAGGTGATATTTAGAAAAGTAATGTGGTATAGGGGAAAAAGAGAACTAAGGGTTTGGACATCTAGTTTCAAGTTCCAGCTCAGCAGCTAACTAGCTGCAAGAATATGGGCAAAGTACTTAAATTTTCTGTGCCTGCATTTCTTCACATGTAAAATGAAAGAGTGGACTAAATGATCTATAGGGTTCCTTTAAACTGACCATTCTCTGTTGAGGCATATCAGAAACATCATATGACTTTAAGGTTATGATGACTTTACTACCAGTTCTAAAAAATGCTCATTCTAAATCTGTACTAGTAATTATTGGATCTCATGTGTGTGAAGTGTCAGCTATTACTGTTACAGAAACCAAGTTGGTGCACTGTCTCATACTTCCAGGCAGTGCTGCACACACAAAACTAGCATATGTCATACTATAGGGCTTCACACAATAAACAAACATAAAGATCAAAAAGAAAGAGGCATTTTAAGAATCAATGGTTGATGACTGCTTTTTAGAGTTTTCATGTACTAAGATTTCATTTCTCTGGGTGTTCACAAACCTAATGTTTCAGTTCCTTAAATGAAAATAGGTGAGTAGGGCAGGTTTCCTCAGAGCTACAGTTCTTGCATTAGGGACTGTCCCTTTCCCCTCAATGTGCTTTAAAAGCAGTGGCACAGGGACGGGTGTTGGATGGGAAGGAGAACAGGGAAAACTGATGGTGGTGCGATCTGCGTGTGCTGTCACACCCCAAACTATTCGTGAATTTTTAAAATTTAATCCATGTATTTCCGTTTTCCTGGCAGCAGTTCCTGCTGTATCAGCAGTTTTCCAAATTAGATTTCTCACCCAGATCTCTATCTGGGACCTTTTTTTTAAGTCCTGGTTCTCCTTAATTCTCTATATCCAGTTGGTCACCAAGGCCTTTAATTTCTCTTTATAATATATCTTGTTTCCCTTCTTCCTCATTTCCATGTTCAATATCTGGGTCTGTTGCAGGCTCACATCTGTTCCCCTGCAATAATCTCTTAATGAAGGCTTTTTATGCTACTAATCTGATTTTCTGGAAACATTCGGCTCCATCACAGCACTCTTTGTATTTCTCCATTGCCTATGAGATGAAACTAAACTAGTCCTCCAAGCATCCTCACCCATCCACTACCAGATTTTAGTTCTTTTCTAGTATATACTCACATTAGTTAATACGATGCTACACCAAAGAGAACTAAATGCAGTGTAATTCCCTGAGTTCCAGGACGCTCCATGCAATCACACAGGTTTCTTCCGTCTTGTTTCTCAATCATAACCTCCAGGACACAGTCTTCAAAAACTCAGTGGAGCAGGCATCACGGGACACCTTTTTAGTTCTAGGATGGGCAAAGAAAAGCAGGCTCGTTGTCTGTAAAGTCTGTGCCTAGGAATGGGTGGGCACATATCTCTACTCAAGGGAAGAGGGGAGGTACAGTGCAGTCGAGCAACTATTTATCAAGCCATAATTAATACAGCAAAAAAAAAAAAGAGTCATCTAGCACTTTCTGCCTCACACATCTTCTGCTTCAACTGCCCCACTCTTTCCCACACTCAGGTTTTCTTTCTTTCTCTCCACTTACCCAGATGGTACCCACCCTCCTTAAGTATCACTTCCTTCTCTGAGTGCTGCAACTATTCTCAAAGAATGCTTCGGTATTCTTGATGGGTGGGTGCAGAGATCTACTTGTCTTGTGGCTGCCCAAAACAAACCTTGTAAATTCTCTCACTTACTACACCTGCCACCTACCAATCTGGAATGGTCTGCCTCTTTCTTAAGTCTCTCCTTGCCCTCTGTGTACAGGGACTAGTTTTGAATTTCACCTCCGGGGCGGGGGGAACTTTGCAAGTTGCTAACCAACAACAGAGAAGCAACAGCCTATTTGGCTAGGTCAGGGGTGTCAAACTCATTTTCACTGGGGGCCACATCAGCCTCGTGGTTGCCTTCAAAGGGCCAGATGTAATTTTGACTGTATAACTAACTACTCCTTAGCAGTTAAGTGAGAGCTTGGTGCTGCTGCCAGGTAGAAACAAGGTGCCTGGCCAGATAAAACAAGGTAGAGGGCTAGATTTCAGCCTGGGCCTTGTTTGCCACCTGTGGACTAGGAGCATCTATAAAGCCTTCCTTAGTTGAGGAAGTTAGTTAAGTTAGTTGAATCTTGAAAGATGAGTAGAGATGAACCAAGTGAAGAAGTGTGTTAGGCTGTAGAGAGGAGGGAGTTGGTGAGCAGGGTCTCAAGGTAAGTAAGGCTATGCAGGTCGTGTGGTCCTCAGGGAGAAAGTTAATAAAGGTCTTTTCAAGTATATCTATCTATCTATCTATCTATCTATCTATCTATCTATCTATCTATCTATCTATATCCTCACCCAAGGATACGTATACTGATTTAAGAGAGAGGGGGAGAGAAACATTGACATGTAAGAGAAACACCAATTGGTTGCTTCTTGTTTGTAACTCAACCAGGGATCCAACCTGCAACCTAGGTATGTGCCCGCAACTTTTTGGTGCACGGGACACTCCAATCAACTGAGCCAGCTGGCCAGGGCTCTTTTCAAACATTTTTAAAAATTGAGTTACAACATATATAAAATGTACAAGTCTTTATACACCAGTATAGTTCAATTTTTAAATATGCAATATATGTAACACATGTCAAAAATAAAGTTGGACATTAAAGTAGTAGAGACAGGCTCTACTCAGTAACTATTGAAATAGGGGAGAGCATAGTGTGAACTAAACACAACTTCAATTTGTGCAGGGGTGAGCCAGAGTTTTCAAGGGAGGAGAGAACAGGGAATGAGCAGCCAGAGAAAAGAATTTATAAAAAGTAGAAAGGGGCCCTCAGTTAATGTCATTAGGCTACCTGCATTTGTTAACTGGCATTTCTTGAAGTTCGGCTCCTAGCCTCCCACAGAGACTGGGAGACAGGGGTCTTGCCTTTAGGTGTTGGCTGGAATAAACAGTAAATTCTTTTGGCAGCCTGGAGCTTTCCCAAGCAACAATCTAAGGGAGCTAAAGTTGTCATCTTAGGGATGTGGCCTTTAGCTGTGAGGAACTTTAGCTAGTATTTATTCTAGTCTGTTAGTGTGGAGGGCAAAATAATACATGCTAAATCTGCAGGTGGTATAGGCCAAGGTTGAGGCCTAGTTGAGAGGCGGCTCAGAGGAGCCTGAGTAGAGTTTGGTCAAGGAGAAAGTCTTCTGTCACCCACCCTCAACCCAGATCAAGATATAAATGTTTCTAGCAACTGAGAAGTCTCCTTTGGGCCACTTCTCATCAATATCCACCCCCAAAGTTACACAACCTTCTACCCTCCATCACAATTAGTTTTATCTGTTTTTTTAACTTGCTATAAATTGATTCATATAGTATATACTCTTTTGTGTATGGCTTTCCCACATATGCTTATAAAATTTATCCATATTGTTATGTGGCAATAGTACATTCTTTTTAATAATTGGGGAGAAATCTAGTATGAACTTACCACAGTTTATTTACCTATTCTGCTGTTGATGAACAACTGAGTTGTTTTCTTACTGTTGAGTGATATGAATAAAGGGGCCTTAAACACACTTGTCTATCTCTTGGTGGATACAAGAATGTATTTCTGTTTGGTATGTATACCTAAGGATGGTACAGGCAGTCCCTGGCTTATGATGATTCAACTTCTGATTTTTCAGCATTAAAATGGTGAAAAAGCAAGGTAAATGTGGCAGAAACTGTTCTCTGAATTCTGATCTTTGCCTGGGCTGGCAATATGCAGTATGATATTCTTTTGTGATGCTGGGCAGTGGTGGTGAGATAGCTTTGCCCACCTGTGCCCACCTGAGTGCTCTGACAACAACACTCAAGGTATATTCGGTCACTATGATGTTCAGCGGGTTAGATTTTTTTATAGTTCACAATTTATATTTTTTAATAGAGTCCACAGTCTGCTAAATAAAAGCAGTAACAAGATATTTCACAAACTATTATAAAATTTAAATCTTAGGAATTTAATTTCACTAAAAAAATTAGGTGCCTATTCATACTGGGTAACCTAGAACTGCTGTTTAATCTATGGTCTAAAATACTTTTTAAAAAATACTTTTTTTTGCCCTGGTTGGTGTAGCTCAGTGGATTGAGTGCAGGCCTGGGAACCAAGGGATTGCAGTTTGATTCCCTGTCAGGGCGCATGCCTGGGTTGCAGGCCAGTTCCCAGCGGGGGACACACAGGAGGCAACCACACATTGATATTTCTCTCCCTCTCTCCTCCCCTTCCCCTCTAAAGATAAATAAATAAAATCTTTAAAAAAATACATTTTTATAAGAGATTTAGTCCCATCACTACTTTTCCATGTTTTACAATAAATAGTTTGTGTTCATAATAAAAAAGATCCACACAATAATTCAGCATATAAAAGATAACTTTACAAAAAACCCAAGACAACCTTTCAAATCAACTTTTATTTTCTTTTTCCTCTTCACATACAGAACTTCTCCACACACCACATTTTTTTTGCAGCTGTAAAGTCACTTCATGTTAGTCAGGTATCATTTTATCCCTAAAACCTAGCTGGTATCAAAATATGACAGTTAATCAGTATTAAATCTATAAAATATTTATATAGCACACCCATTAAGCTTTAGACACTTGGCAATTAAAATACATAAAAATAGGACAAAACCCCCATGTTCAGAATCAGCCATTCACAGTCCCCATTTGGCGACTGTAAAATGGTTCCAAAATGCAGCAGAGGCAATGGGCAGTTACCTCAGAGGATATTGAGCACTATGATCTGGATGCATATTATAATGTTACCCTGGTGTCATGTACCACCCCACCTTTCTCTCAGGTGGTCTCATAATTCTAGAATGTCAGGTGCAGCTGATACCAAATGGAGACAGACAACACAACATTTACCCTGTGGACATATTCTAACTCCTACTACACATGCATCGTGAGTTTGAATACAACTCATCCTAAAAACATGTCACCATCATAGTTTTTCAGGCTGGGTAATCCAACAGTCTTACACGTCACTGTTACTGCTAGCACAAAGCTGAACCAACTATTGGCTGTAAAGAGTTCACTGGTGGTTTTTCTGATAATATGGAAAATATCTTAAGTGTGTATTTCCCTTGGGAGGATAAGCTGATAAGCTGATAGAGTTGTTGTGCTGATAGTGTAGAGTTGTTCACCCTTAGGGATACTAGAGTATTCTATCCTTGGTTCTCGTTGAGGCTTCAATCCTATTATACTGTTCATTTTCACAAGAATACAAGAGTGTCCACTGGAGTAGCCAAAGACAGGATCATCCACACCACTGCATGCTTGAGGTAAGGTAAGAGGAAACTAACATGCAACAAAAACTGGATGCTTCTGTTCAAAAGAGTACTCCATCGGGACAGATTGTGAGATTCTTCTGTTTTTCTAAAGCACATGCTTTTGAAATCTATTAAGGTCTTCAAAGTACCTTTTACTGACTGGACTCTGGATCAGGCACGCTGAATGAATATTCCAATAATGACACTGATATTGGAAAAATGATAAGTCCTGACACTGATATTGGAAAATGATAAGTCCGAGACTGGAAATCTGGTCATATTTTGGAACTTCCTCATTTAGAGACTGAAGCATAGCCCACAATATGAGTATGAAGAGTGCAGCAAGGAGCCCATAAAAGACTAGGTAGAAGAGCAAGATCAAACCTCATCAAGCTCTTTGCAGTGAGTCCCGGGAACTCTTCTGGTGGTTGCATTCTAGATGAAGAGCCTCCACTCAGGCAGGGTCTGGTTGAAGGACCTCTCATCTTCACTCGTCATGGGTGTGTGCCCACGGCAGGCATGGGGGTGGGGTTTGTGGAAGCAGCCAGGAGCTCAGAGGCACTGCGTAGCCTGAAGGTGCACCCTGGCTCCAGCAGCACAGCCCAGAGAAGACAGCAGAAGGTGGAATGGTGGAGGACACCTACCTCCTCACTGCCGTGTGGTGTGCACGGCACTCAAGCTGGACTGCAAGGTTAGATGTATTAAATGCATTTTCAAATTAAAATGGACTTATTGGGACATAAACCCATTGTAAGTGGAGGAGCATCTGTACTGCTGGATCATAGGATATTTATATTTTAGGCTTAGTTGATACTGCCAGTTTTCCAAGGTTGTTGTAACCATTCATACTCCCACAAAAAATCGGTTCCACAACCTCACCAACACTTGGAATGGTCCTTTTAACTACAGCCATTCTGATGAAGGTGTAGCAATATTTCACTGTGGTTTTTATATGCATTTCCCTGATAACTAGCGATGCTCAGCATCATTTTATATGCTTATTAGTCATCTGGCTGTCCTCCTCTGTAAAGCGGTTGTTGGAGTCTTTCACTCACCTAAAACATTGGAATATCTATCTTGAATTCCTACTGATTTGTGGAATGGATATGAGTAGCAATAGGGTCCTCTGGGAAGCAGACGCTAATATGCAATGAGCAATGCAAGAGATTTATTGGGGAATAACACCTATGAAAAATAAAAAAGAAAAAGAAGGGGAAGTCTTCAGATGCAGGTCTGACAGGTGTGAAAAGAAAGGGGGAAAGAAGGGAATTGAATAGGAACAGAATCAGATAGGATGCATCTCTGAGAGAGTCTCAGCCAGTCCAGTAGGGAGCTCTGACACAAATACTGCCCACAGAAAAGTCCTGCACTGACCAGAGACAGCAAGCCCTTGTACTACCATTGTGCTCGTAATTGGCTAGGTGCTTGCAAAGCATCATGTGGCTTTGGCTTAAAAGCTAAGGCAGCCCTGACTTGTTGTGGCTCGATTGGTTGGGCATCATCCCACAAAGCAAAAGTTTGCCAGTTCGATTCCCAGTCAGGGCACATACCTGGGTTACCAGTCCATTCCCAGGTTGGGGTGCAGAGGAGATGCAACTGATCAATGTTTCTTTCTCACATTGATGTGTCTCTCCCTCCCCTTCACTCTAAAAATAAGTAAATAAAATCTTTCAAAAAAAACAAAACCCAAAAAGCTGAGGTAGATCCTCTCTAGAACTGAGATCTGAACAGAATAGCTTCATGGATGCCACTGGCTTCTTGATCAGATGTATTATGAGTATCTTCTTTCAGTATGTGGCTTACCTTTTCATTTTCTTAGTGGCATTTTTGAGTTAATTTTAATTAAGTCTAACTTATCTATCTTTTGTTTTTGTTGTTTATGTAATGTTCAAGAAGTCTTTGGCTATCCCAAGTTTATGAAGTTTTGCTTTCTCCTAGAAGTCTTATTATTTTACTTTTAACATTTATGTCTATGGTCTATTTTAAATAATATTTTGGGTGTGGTATAGGGTTCAAGTCAAGTTTCATTCTTTTCCATATAAATGACAAATTTGTCCCAGTACCCACTAATGAAAAGACTTTCTTTTCCCCCAGAGAACTGAAGTGCAGACTGTTATAAACAAATGACTGCTATGAACAATGGTCTGATGCTGGGGTTTCTCATTCAGCCCCTTGTTCTATTTGTCTAAATTTGTGCCAATATCACACTACCATAATTTCTGTATTTTTCAAATAATTTGGATATCTGGTAATGTACATTCTCCAGCTTTATTCTCTAATATTGGTTTGGCTATTCTAGGACCTTAGCATTTTTTAAAATACTTTATTCATTCATTCATTCATTCATTCAGGGGAAAGGAAAGAGAAAGAGAGAGAAACATCAGTGTGTGAGAGATACATCAATTGGCCTGCAACCCAGGCATGAGCCCTGACCAGGTATCAAACCAGGGACCCTTTGGTTCACAGGCCGGCACTCAGTCCACTGAGCTACACCAGCCGGGGCTGAATCGTGCACTTTATTTTTTTTAAGTATTTTTTATCTATTATACTATTACAGTTTTCCCAAATTCCCCCCTCTATCCCCCCTCCACCCTGCCCCCTCAACCCTCCAGCATTCCCCCACAACTTAGTTCATGTTCATGGGTTGTACATATAAGTTGTTTGAGTCCTCTGTTCCTATACCATTTTCTATCTTTCCCCATTTTATGCCTACTAATTATGCTTCTCCTTCCCTGTACCTTTTCCCCCCCATTCCTTCTCCCCACTGAACTCTCTCTGTATGATGTCCATTTCTCTGATTCTATTCCTGTTCTGGTTGTCCGCTTAGTTTTTGTTTTCATTGTTTTTCTTTTCCTTTAGGTTCATTTGTTAATAGTTGTGAGTTTGTTGTCATTTTATTGTTCATAATTTCAATCCTTTTTTTCTTATATAAGTCCCTTTAACATTTCATATAATAAGGGCTTGGTCATGATGAACTCCTTGAACTTAACCTTACCTAGGAAGCACTTTATCTGCCCTTCCATTCTGAATGAAAGCTTTGCTGGATAGAGCAATCTTGGATGCAGGTCTTTGGATTTCATGACTTGGAATACTTCTTTCCAGCCCCTTCTTGCCTGTAAGGGCTCTTTTGAGAAATCAGCTGACAGTCTGATGGGGACTCCTTTGTTGGCAACTGTCTCCTTATCTCTTGCTGCTTCTAGGATTCTCTCCTTCATTTTAATCTTGGCTAATGTAATTATGATGTACCTTGGTGTGTTCTTCTCTGGGGCCAACTTTTTTGGGACTTTCTGAGCTTCTTGGACTTCCTGGAAGTCTATTTCCTTCATCAGATTGGGGAAGTTTTCCTTCATTATTTGTTCAAATAAATCTTCAATTTCTTGCTCTTGCTGTTGCTCTTCTCCTTCTGGCACCCCTATAATTTAGATATTGGAACATTTCAGGTTTTCCCAGAAAGTCCTCAGCCTCTCTTTATTTTTTTTGACTCTTGTTTCTTTGTTCTGATCCAGTTGGATGTTTATTTCTTCCTTTTGTTCCAAATTGTTGCTTTGACTCCTGGTTTCTTTCTTGTCACTGCTGGTTCCCTAAATATTTTGCTTTATTTCACTTTGGGTATCTTTCATTTGTGCTTTCATTTTTCAACCAAGATCAATCAGATCTGTGAGCATTTGATTACCAGAGCTTTAAATTCCCCATCAGATAGAGTGGTAATCTCCTCATCGCTTAGTTCTGAGGTTATGCTCTGTTCTTTCATTTGGGCCATATCTCTTTGTCTTGGTGCACCTGATAAGTTGTAAGGGGCGGGTCCATAGGTATTCACCAGGAAGAGCAACCCTCTTTGCTGCGCTGCCTGTGGGGGAGGAGCCAGAGAGGGAACAATGTAGCCCGCCAGCTCATCTCCAGTGCACTTTCTAACAGTTACATTGGAAGTATCTCCCACTATGGCAACCCCAGTGTCAGCTCTGAGTCTCAGTTTTCCCCTTAAGTCAGTCCCTCCCCTGCAGCTCTGCTGAGCTCAGCAGTCAGCCCTGCCCCTCAGCCACCTTGCCACAGTTTTTCTGAGTCGGCCTGGGCAGTCCAGCTTACCAGTCTGGTTGTTCTTTTCTTTAATTCCTTGGTTGTCAGAGTTCCGCGCAGTTTGATTTTCTGGTGTTTCTGATTGCTTATTGATTTTAGATTGGTCATTATCCTCCTTCTGGTTGTGGGAGGAACTGAAGGGTTTCTACCTGTGCCTCCATCTTGGCCAGAACTCTGAAGATCTCCTTAGCACTTCTATATACATTTAAGAACCACCTTGTCAATTCCAACAAAAAAATATACTGGGGTTTCAACTGGGATTCATTAAATCTACAGATTAATTTACAGAGAACTAATATTTTAGCAATACCAAGTCTTTCAATCCTTAAGCAACATATCTCTGGGGAGAAGCATTCTAGGCAGAGTGGAAAGCATGCACAAGGGCAAAGAGGCAAGAAACAGCATGGCTTCTGGTATATAAAAAGCTATGAAGCAGTTTAATGAGGTGTAAAGTGCAAGGCATGGAGTGCAGAAGATGAGGCTGAAGAAAGAGGCAGAGGCCAGACTATAGAGGAAGTTGTTGGCCATGTCCAACAGGCTTCCTAAGGCTGATGGCTGGTTTTAAAGCACAAGACTGGTATGGTCTGATGTGCATTCACACAGAGGACTCAATCAGCAAAGGGTCTGAGTAGGTTTGAATGGCTTTCAAAGAGGACAAAAATGTAAACAGGCAGAATAGGAGACCATTGCAGTAGTTAAGGTGAAATATGATGATGATTTGAACAAGGACAATGGTAATCAAGATGGGAAAGAAAGGGATTCATATTTGATTGGTAAAACCAGTAGGATTTGGTGATTGGATGTTGTAGGGTTGGTGGGGGTGCTGAGAGTGAGAGTCAAAGATGACTCCTAATTTTCTAACCTATTTATGGGTAGATAGTGGTATAAGGAGTATGGGAGTAAGAGTAAACTTGGGAGAGACGTTGAGTAGGTTGAGTTGCCTATGAGTTTCCCCAGGGAGGTGTCTAACAGATAACTGGATATGTAGGTCTGAAGCCCAGGGAAAGGTGTAGGCTGAATATATGGTCCTGTGACTGTGGGGGCAACTTTCCCCGCATGTCCCTCCATGTGCCACAGATGAGAGTAAACATGACAGAGACATGATGTGATCTGCTTGGGGAGGAGCAGTGGCCAATTTCTCAGGGGACAATGCCTCAAGCTCCTTCCTCCAGGGGCTTTTATTGGGTTGTAATACACAGGAATACAGGGTGACAAGTATCAAACAGTAGATAACATTTCAAAGAGATCTGAGGGCTTAGTCCCGAGTCAGTCTGTCAGGAGGAGTTTTAGGGTTTCCTGCTTGAACCCTTAACATGAATGAAAGCAGTCTTAGCAGAGATTTCACAGGTTTATCAGGAAGTCTTTGTGCTGCCCAGATTTTTCCCCAGGACACGCTCTAGCAAGGAAAGGAGCTGTACCCCTCCCCATCAGGTGTTCAGGCTTAAGGGGATTAGAGCCAGGAAGCACTTCTGCCAGGGGATATGGGGACTCAGGCTTTGTCAAAGTGGGGGAGGGGGGGCAGGTGAAGTCCACTGCTTTTTGTTGCAGCCCCCCAGTCCTTCCATGATGGCCTTACACGTGATGGAGTCTGGTTAGGTCAATAGGGGTCTTACCCATCATTGACTTCCAATCAAGCTTTGGAGGCAGGGAGAGGAAATTGAGGCAGCATTTGCTATCAGAGACAAGCTTTATCTCCTGCGGCTCACATTCCAGAGGTCCTTAGCCACAGAGGGTAGAGTTACAATTCCTGAAACCAGGCAGAGTGGTCCACAACATGTGACCATGGAAAAATCCTGAGACTGGATGAGATTACTCAAGGAGTGTGTGTAGGTTGAGAGGTATTATGCATCTCTCCCTCATATTCCCATTCAGATTTAAAATGTCCTACTTCTTTGTCTTCTTTTTCATAAAACTACCCACTAATATCCCCTGGGTTAAAAACCATATAAGAAATACTGTTTACTGATTTAACATTAGTGACCACAAATTTCAAATGGATATTCAGTACAGCCAGATATACCTTACAAAGTGCCACTCTCCCAGACCTCGTTTTCAGTTTCTCTTCTTCCTCAAACCTTCTGGCCCCTTGCTGCCCTCCACTCTCAGTTAAACTTTACATCATACTTCACTATAAAAAAGGGGGGGTAATTTGACTGACTACCTCATTTTCATACCATCAGGTCTACCAGGTTCTCTGCAACTGCTGTCCTCCTTCTTATAACATAGAGGTGTCCCCATTCCAATCTACAGCCAGCCTCATAACCTGTGCTCTAGATTTCGTCCTTTCTCCCTTTCTCACACATTACCCCTTTCCTCTCTATCATCATCCATTTACAATTGGGTAAGTCTCATTTTTATACAAATATGCCTTAATAGCACCTTCTATAAACACCACCAGTGCCTGAGACTGCTAATGCTCACTGATATACATTTTTTTCTCTTTTTCCTTGCCACACAGCTAAATTACATTTCTCAAGTTACATTTTTCAGCCCCCTTGTGGAGGCCAGAAGGAAAGTAGATTCTGACCAGAAGTAAAGTATTCCACTCTCAGGCCTAGACCACAAAAATCTCCCATTCGTGATTCTCTACTCACTTTCCTTTTCCAAAGTGACTTTGATGGCTACATGTTGGTGCCGCAAAATTGTAGGAACCTGGCTCCTTGGGTTATTCTTGGAAGAAAGACACTGAACTCATACTGGACTGCAACTCAACTGATAAATAAACTTTAATTATGTTAACCTGTTGACATTGCAGTTGTCAGTGATAGCCCTTAGCCTAATATAACTAACTCCACATCCCCCTCAAGCTATTGCCCCATTTGTTTCCTTTAACATTCTTTGAAGAGTTGTCAAAACTCATGGTTTCCATCTTTCTCATCTCAGCCTCCTTCATTTCAGCTTCCTCCCCACCATTCCACTAACGTGCCTCTCTTTTTTAAAAATATTTTATTTATTTACCTGTTTATTTTTAGAGAGAGGGGAGGGGAAAGAGAAAGAGTAGGAGAGAAACATCAATGTGTGGTTGCCTCTCTCTCATATGTCCCCTACTGGGGACCTGGCCTGCAACCCAGATGTGTGCCCTGAGTGGAAATCGAACCAGTGACCCCTTGCTTCACACGCCCATGCTCAATCCACTGAGCTACACCAGCCAGGGCTGACATGCCTCTCTTATTAAGGTCATTAATAACCTTCATCTTGCCAAATCCAATGTCATTTCTTCATTCTCATCTTTTTCAATTTCTCAGCATCATTTAATACAGCTGACCACTTCCATCTATTCTTTTTGAAACATTCTCTTGGACACCACAGTCTATTGGTTTTCCTTCCACTTCATTTGCAGCTCCTTTTTCTCTACCAGTTCCATAAGAGATGGAGTATCCTAGGGCTCTTTTTAAATTTTGTGTCTCTCTCTGCATTCTTGAAGAGGAATGCTGCTAACTCCCAAATCTTTATTTCTAGCCCAGTCCCCTCCCATTTGCTTTAGTTCTGCACATTTGACTGTCTCCTGGGATATCTAACAGGCATGTGTAATATAACAACACAACTCCTGATTTTCCCTCTCAAACCTTTTCATCTTTCTCTTCCTTTTTACCTGGTTTGCTCATACCAAATTTATGCGAGTTTCCAATTCCTTGTTTTCCCCCCTTTCCCACCCACATCCAATCTACTGCCAAGTATTTCTGGCTCTGTCACCAAAATATCTTACTGTATCTGACTCCTTTTCACCACCTCCTCTGCAAAAATGCCAGTCGAAACCACTTTTCCTTCTCAGACTACTTACTCCAACAATCTAATTGCTTTGCCTTCACCCTTACCTGGGATGTATGCTAAGAGTTTAACACATCAACCAGAGTAAATATCTCAAAATACAGTAAGTCAATGAAACACTTAAACTCTCAATAGCTTTCTGTGTGAAATTTTTTAAAAAATCCATCCTCCTCACCAAGTGAGATTTCTTGTCCTGGCATTCCCTCTACTACATTATGGTATGGTTTAATACTTATTCAATAGTTTCATTCTTTTCTACTTCTCTACATTTTATGGAAAGAATGTTTTGATGCTAGTAGATCTTACTCCCCCCAGCCCCACTAACTGGATCCCCCAGTTTCAGCACTAGCATGGCAGGCTATTCCCCATTCCCCCTCCTTATTTTAGAAAGCAAGGGACAGTAGAAAGAGCATGGAACTTTGGAATCACACAACCCTGTGTTTAAACTGTACTTTTCTTTTTACCAGCATTCTGAAGTAGTAACTTACCTTCTTAACTTCTCTATCACTTAACTTCTCTAAACCCCGATTACCTCATCTATAAAATGATAACAATACGTTATAAATATGGTAAATGAATTCACACATACAAGGTTCTTACCACACGAAGGAAACAAAGGTATACTAGATTCCTTCAACACACTACATGTTCTTTCCCATTCACCCTTTCCTCATCGATACCTCAGTCAAATGCCAAGATAGGGTATACCCCACTAATCTCGAGCACACTAGCTCACAGTGTGGATGGACCTCGAGAGTTTTATAAGCTTTACTAAGTAGTAAAGTTAACTGAGCCTTCACAATTTAGATATAAAGAGGAAAAATATGACTGCAGGGGTCCCCATATGCAAATACATGAATTATAAATGAATACCGGCGTCAGCCGCTGCCGCACTTCCCCTACTCAGCGCACTGTGACCCAAGCCGTGCTCCGCCTACGACGGTGTGAGGGCGGATATTTGCATATGCAAAATCCGGAAGAGAGGGGAACCACCCAACGAAAACCCCGGGCTTTACTATCCACGGGACTGGGAGGGCCGGCCCCACTTTGCCACCAGCCCCGCCCCCCAAGGGCTGTCGGGCGGCCAACCCTCTCGACGCCACAGCACCCTCCTACTCACTCCTGAACTTTAAGCCGTGCTGCGAAGAACAACCTGGAGGAGGGGGATTTCTCAGGAGAAATCTTTCGCACGCTCAGGAACGTCACCTGCTGGCTCCCAGTGTTCCCAGAGATCCAGAAGATGCCCTGCACCACCTACTGAGACCTGCTACGGAGCCCACTGCAGCTCTGGGGGTGGTAGCGTGGGCGGGGCACTGGAGGGGTGGAGCGTGGGCCAAAAGCAGATGCGCGCGCACTAAGAGGACACCGGGTCTCTGCGCCCCCAGAGAAGGCGGTAGCAAGGCACGACGTCAGTCGTAGGAAATCCCCGAACCGAAGTGCGCTGGTGGGGTCCGCACTCGGCTCTTGTGGCGCTCCGCCCCCTTCCCCTGGTTTCAGTACTCCGGGCTGACGACGTTGGGAGATTTGGAACGCGAGAACTAAGAGGGTGGAAAGGTGTGAGCTGCAAGGCAGAGGAGGGCAAGAAGGAGGAGGTGGCCCCCGGGGGTGGTCTGAGGGACCCAGGGGTCCTGCCGCAGAAGACTGCCTGGCGGGCTGGCTGGCTGCAGCAGCCTCCGGTCCGGACGCGCTGAGCGGAGCGGAGCCATGGCCTCGGGTGAGTGTTCCTGGCGCAGCGGGCCAGTCCCGGACTTGGGAGAAAGGAGCTCGTCAGTTTCGGGGACTCAGTTCTGTTTTGGGACATTCTGTCTTTAAAATCTCCTGATCTGGCAAATTGTCAACCTCGTAAAAAGTGGCTTGCGTGCAAAATCAAAGCCATGCTCTGTAATTTGATGTCATTATACTAGCCGGAAACCTAGAGATACCCAGCAACAGGGTTTGGGGATTAGGGAAGTAATAATCTACACAAAGGGAGGTGAGGAGTCCTTGTATTGAAAATTGATTTATGTTGAAATGGTGGTTTTCTGTTTTAAACTAGGAATGAGGAACCTCAGACTTCAGGGAGAACTCTGCTTTTTTAGTTTAATTTCATCAAGTGCTAAGTGGTGATCCTGTTGTGCTGACAGTTGTACAGAATGAGTGAGTGCCTTTAAAAGTCACGAGTGGTAGTTTAACAGAATTTGAGAGAAAAATGTTCCTTCACGAAAGTGGATAATTTTTACTGTACTTTCTAGTTTATGGAGAAGTCGAGTTTTGTTCTTTTTCCTTTGTTGGAAAGAAGGGAAAAGAGGATTTTTAGAATATCTCTGCTTTAAAATATGGGTAGAAATGAAAACTTTGTTTCACTTATGAAAATGTTCGTTTTAAATTAATAAATGTGTGAGTTTCTTGAGAGAAAACGAGTTTACCAAGACAGTTTAGAGGGCAAGGGAGGGAGTCTCGAATTTGCAGCGCTGGTTTATTTTTGGTTATCCTGTACCCGAAGGGAAGTAAATCGAGCAGACAGCGTTCCAGTTGTATCTTTTCAGGATTCTGGTGCCATTCTTTAAGGGCGCGTTCTCGACTGAGGGAGCCGCGTGAGCAAAGACAGGGAGGCTGCAAGGTTTGTGGTCAACGCTTTACAAGCAGGCTAAGGAGGGGCTCTTGTTTATGCTTCACCCTCCTCCCCAGCCCCTGGGACAGTTACCCGCAGTAAAAGGCTGCTGTCTGGCAGAGAAGAGGAAGTTCAAAGCTTAAGGACTTTTTAAGGGGGTGGAGAAGAACAATGCCATCCATAGCTACTGCCGTAGGCTGAAAAGGAAATTGGGGTGACGACATTTGATTTCAGTTTGTGGTTTTCATGTGAGAATACAAGTAGAATTTAAACTACTTAAACTTTCTCTTTATCCACTTCACTGACCCCCAAACTTTCAGATAATCTTGAAAATTCGTAAATTCAGAGCGCGTTTAGATTAAAAGTACAAAGATGACTTGAAAGAGGTTAATTTATTGGTGATGAGATATCTTGTATGAAAGTAGTAGAGAATGATGAGCACTGTAAGTTTAAACAAGGTCAGCCTTCTGGCAATTGAACCAAACTTTATTAGTATATAGTATGGATGTAATACTTCGAATTCTTTAAAAACAGAGAGAAAAGAATTAACCATTTATAGAATATTGTGAGACCTACATCATTTAAAAATGTGATACAATTTAAACTTGCTTAATGACACTATATTTTGTGCTGTTGTGAGGACAGGTTCTCTAATTCGAATGGGGAAAGTTTTTTAAGGAATGAGAAGTTGTGAATTATCACAAGTTACTTAAATCGTAATTCAGTTTTTTGAAAACTACTAAGCAAATTTTTAAAACGGGAGTCTGGGTGTACTTTCCTCAATCAGTTGTAAAGACCCTACAGAAAAAGAGTCAATGAATTGTAAATTCCCATCCTGTTTTCAAACAGTAATTTAACTGAGTCACAGAAAAAAAGTATACTAAATTAGTTTATCATTGTCTAGTTTAGATTCTGTTTGTGGTAAGGCAGTAGTAAAACCTCAAAAGGTATTTTTATTGATTACCAAACCTTTAAGACCATTTCTTTATTTATCTCGGATGTCATATGTAAATAGGTATGTGTAGTTGGATATGTAATCTATGTAACATAAAAAGTAACATCATAATCTCATAAGCAAATTGTTTAAGTACCATTAGTTACTGGGACTTTGATTATATATATTTCTAAATTTTGTTCAGGTAAATTAATCAGATTATTTAGAATTTTACAGCTTGCATTCTATTAAGTTGTCTCTTTACATTACACCTTGATTTTAGTCTTTTGACACGATTAATTAGAACAGGCCTTGTGAAGAAAAATATTCCTATACCCATTAGACCATCATTACACTTGTATATTTAAATAAAATTAGCTATTTTAGGCCTAACTTTAAAGTTTTTCACTGTTCTAATAAAAAGTATAAAATGTTCTTATGTGCACATAGCTCTGTTTATTAATAAATAGTACTGTCTTTGGTATAATACATGTTGCAATTTAGATAATTTATTTTTATTACTAGTTTTCTTTAGTATAGTTCTGCTATGTCACATAGGGAGTACCTGCAGAAATTGTTTCTGTAAACCACACACTACTTCCCAACTCTGTCTATAGTGTGGCTATCAAGAAAACGATTTCTCTTGAGTACTGGGGTGGAAAATATAAGTGTGCTGCAACTTAAATTTTTAAGTTACGTAGAGCTGCAAGCTGGAATTGATAGCTAAAACATATGACTTCTATTTTAAAATAAAATACTACATACAAGTGTGAAAACCATTTCAGAATTATGAAATAATTTGTTATTTCATGTTAATAAAATTTCATGTTATTTCTACATGAAAGTGTAGAAATAACAGTAGTATAAAGGAATTAGGATGATATAGACATATCATATCATATCATATCATAGACATAAAAGGAATGAGTGAATGAAATGACTGGTGAGGAATCTTTGGAATCATTTCGGGGACACCTAGGGTGAGTGTATTGTAGTATCTCAAATGCGATTAAAGGGACTCCGCAGTCCTTTTGTTCCATCTTTCATCTGTTCTCAGCAAGTGACTGGGATTGTAGGCACGCGATCTCTGCAATTGCATGGTGTATACTTTGTTTTTATACCAAAGGAAATTCTTTATTGTAAACAATATATAAAGTACAATAAAAGGAGTAGTATGCAAACTGTGAATCACAAGGATTTTTTTAAATTTATTAAAAGAAAACACTTTTGGGTTTCAAGGATCCAAGTTTGGATGTCAGAAATCTAAGTCCAATATAGAAAAAAGTGTTAAATAGGAAGTTATAGGGTCATATTTCATCATATATTTTAAACAATTTACTTTTAACACTATATAATTCACTATACAACAGAATATTAGGACTAGTGCTAACAAAAGTGAATGTTCTAGTAATTTTTCTCCCTATCTACTGTATTTTGCCATGTATAAATTTTTACAGAAAAAATAAGGATGTGCATCATTCATGGGCATAATAATGGGCATAATAATCCCATGTATAATGCACACAAAACCATGGGTACACATTACACATGGCAAAATACAGTACTTTCACGTACCCCCACAAAACCTCCTATAAAATAGTAGGAAAATATTTGTCCATTTGTGAATAATGATCATTAACATTGCATGAGATGTACTAAAAAATTGTTTTAAATTCATACATAAATGGGTATCCTATAATTTTTATTTTTAATCTGTTAATCAAGTGATGATTGGTCCTCCCATCTATTTTTAATATAGTTAAATACATGAAAAATCTAGGACAGATTTTAAATATTTCTCTACTTTTTCACCCTTGAAGTGAAGGTTTTATTGAACACTTATTTTTTTACCCCCACAGCAATGAACTCTCTAGCAATAGAAAAACTGTTGCCCAAATCCTTTACATCTTTTATTACCTTTTGATGCAGATATCAGTCAAATACTTATCTGAAAATTTCCTTACTTATATTCTTATGAGAATACATATTCTCTATTGAGAATCTGCCTAATATATTGGAATAAACTAGACTTTAGTCTACAATGGACCTGAGTTGTTTCTTTTTCTTTTCTTTTTTTAATACTTTTTATTTATTTATTTTTAGACAGAGAGGAAGGGGGAGAGAAAGGAAAGAAACATCAATATGTGGTTGCCTCTTGCACACCCTGTCCTGGGGACCTGGCCCGTAACCCAGGCATGTGCCCTAACTGGGAATTGAACCAGTGACCCTTTGGTTCGCAGGCTAATGCTCAATATATTGAGCCACACCAACCAGGGCAGATTGTTTCTTATTCTACTTCTCCCCACTCTGTGACACAAAAATGGGCGTAACTAGTGCAGAGTCTTGTGAGGAACAAATGTGATAATGTATGCCCATAAGTGTTAGTTTTGTTTTGTAGTGGAGCAATTTTGGGACTCAAATGTGTAGGAAACAGAAACTACTAGAGACCCTTGGAACTTACTATTTAAGTGTCCTGATGATTCTAGAATTTTGTGAAACCACAAAACCAATTAATAGACTAGATCAGATGCAAGATAGAAAATATGTCTTTCAAGAATGCCCATTTACTTTTAAACAAATTGAAATGGTTTTATATACATTTAAACTAGGGGAGTAGAATTTGACAGTGATGTTTGGAATTCAATAGTTTTTTCCCCACTCCTTTGTTCACTTAAATGATAGTAAGCATTCTGCAAAAAAAAAAAAAGTAAGTAAAAATGCTTATCAGATAGGCCACATATCCTTTTACCAGACTGATTGATATAACTTCTCTTATACTTGATTTCTTTTGCACCTTCCATGTTAGTCTTTTTCCTTTCTTATGGGATTTGGCTTAAGTTTTCTTTGCCCCTTTGTTACTTACATGCCATTCTACCTATGCTATGTAAGAAATGGTAACTTTAAATTTTACATAACTTGAAAGAACCAGAAAAACTCACCTTGTATCATAAGGTAAACAGGGTCATCACCACAATCAGTGGCATTAACCACTGAGCCATATCAGCCAGGATGATTTACTTTTTAAATAAATCAGGGCAAGTAATTAAAGGCTATCGCTATAATAATGTTTCCCCTCCTCCACACCCCTTTCTTGCTTGCATATGGAGAAGCTTTTTAGAGTGGGAGAGAAAGAGGAGTGAGTTATGAGCAGTCAGAATTCCTCTGTGTAATTTATCACCCAGCCCATACT